CCTGGCATCGCTACTAGGAGCAAGGACGCTACTAGGGGCTCCTGGCCATACTACTAGGGACAAGAAGCTACTAGTAACACAGGGCGAACAAGCCTCTCCGGTATGAGTTGGACACTGGTTGGTCAACGTGAGGCTCTTTTGTTGGCCACCAGGAGAAGAAAGCCAGTCTGTTGGTCCAAGTGGCCAATGAACTCTGCTGCCTTTCAGGCTGCTCATGCAACTTCAATCAGGATTTGCCTGGCCTCCTGGATCCAGCGCTGGCTATCCGCGCACAGAAGGTACTGAAGGGTAGCAAAGAGAAGGTCGGGACAGCTGCAGAGGTCGGGATTGAGGTTCGACTACAGAAAGCTCTCCCAGCGAAGCCACTCATTGGTTGTCCAACACTCTTGGCAGTACATCTTGGTTCACAAACATGGCGTGCTGAACTCATGCATTCCTCTTGGTGTCCTTGTTTCGTTTTGGCTTCACATCGCCGGTCCAAAAATGGGACGTGGCGCGCGCCAAGAGCGAAGGCGCCTCGTGCGTTGGTCAAAAATTGGATACCGAGAGTGATGGAGCGGTATCAGCGAAGGAGTCGGACAGGCGGACCGGACGACCAACATCTTGACGATATGATATTTGGCAGGTTTTACAATAATTATTTTTGAGAGGAGCAAGGTTACTAGGGGCTTCTGGCATCGCTGCTAGGAGCAAGAACGCTACTAGGGTCTTGAACGGATTTTCCTATATAATCGAGTTCGCACCCACTGGATTCTGCGGAACCTATATGTAAAGGAAGATGGGCTGTTGGCCCTAAGGCCTAGCTGTGAACCATGGTGCTCATGACGTTGCGAAGACCGAACTCTACTGCCTGACATACTGTCGGTCTATCTAACTCCCTTCCCAGAGTACCACAACGAGACCCATTTCCAGCAAGGCTCTTTCTGAGAAGCACAGGGTATGTCACCTCCAATGTGGTGGGATCTCGACCCATTTCAAACGATTTTGCTGCTCACCACAGCCATGTGCTGAGGCACCATCCAGAGAGGCATCACCAACCCCTGCGTGGCGGTGCGCTGGGACAACACTGGGTGGGGGAGAACTGCAAAAACACCTGATGGGTACAACTTACAGTACAACCGCCACTATTCAGTACCGATCCATCCCCATGCTTCTAAGTTGACGGCAAATAGTTCTGAAAGACATCGCGACAAAAAGGATTCCTAAGAAGCGCCCACTTGCAAGCATGGTCAACCGGTTGTCCTTCTGTATAAAGTGACAATGAACATCGATCAACTAGAGTCAACACATCTGTACATGACCCTTCCTGAACATGTGAAAGGATTGAGTTGCTAACTCGAAAGGTCGTCACAAAGCTTGGTTCGTTGCGTCTTTCGATGATCGATCTGACGAAGCGGAGATTCGTATCGTCTTCATGGTCCAAGCGGTCAAAATTTCCCTCGACTGGAAACCTCCGGCCAACAAAGCTTTCTCCACTCGACTAGCCCCTGCCTGCTGGGCGTTGCTCCTAAAATACTGCCCCCACGTGCGCCAGGGAAGAAAGGCATCCAAACAACCCCAGAACTCGTTGGGCCAACTGCTTGGGGATTGGAGTGATTGGACTGAGGAGATTTTCGAGACCAACACCCTTCAGAGGGACTGACACCGGATGGGCTGGGAGACCCAGGGGAACGCCGAATTACCCCGGGAGCAAGTGGGGATATATATATGTATATAAATTCTGGATTTTGACATCCAAGTCTATTCAGAATCTTGGTATTGATAGATTCGTAGATTGGAGCGCCTCGTTTCAGAAGTGAGTAGAATACAGTTGGATTGTTTTCAGAGGCGGGAATGTGCTCTGTCCGTGAAGCAGGCAACTGGATTGTTTTGGAACGCGGGTCTGATGCCTGGTCGTTTGGTGAGCTGATTATTGGTTTCCAGGTGTTCTGGTATTGTGCTATCTTGGATTTGTTCACATTTGAAGGTTTTATGAGCTTTGGGGCTTTCTGCCTCGGTCTTCTTGCTTCCTGGCTTTCTGGCTTATAGGTTTGTTGTTTCCTTGTTTTGTATAATTACTGTAGTTTCTTGGTTTCTAATGTTGTGGTTTATTGGATTGGTGCTTTTCTGGTCTTTGGCTTGGCTTCTTGTTCCCATGTCTTCTACGTGTTTGTTTCTGCTCAGTGCTTAGCTTCATGACTGGTGTTTTCTTCTTTCCTGCTTCCCTGTTGTGCTAATCAAAAGCAGTTTTGGAGTTTCCTGATATTCTCACAAAGAGGCTGCCCCAAAGTCCCTCCAGTTTTTTTCTAGAATCTGCCTATACCCATTTTGAGTGGGGTGTGACCTCTTCTGAAATGAGGTTTTGGATCTGGGCAGAGGGAGTGCCGAACCATGCAAAAACCAGCCAAAGCCCCAAAGCTCAAAACTACTATTTGCTAAAGCAGGCCAAAGAACAGCAAGACTTTTTGTACTTGTAGCAGGGAATTCTTTACTTGGTCCTCCCTCTCTCCAAATCTCTCCAGCGTTTAATGATCTGGATGCGCTTCGAAAAGGTTTGAGAGTGATCCAAGTCCCCAACTGATCTTTCCAATTGAAGGATCAGCTAGGTTCAATATCGTTAAATCCCTTCAAAAGCCACCCTGACACCCAACCACCAGTTCACTGCCCAAGCGCTACGCCACCTCACACCAGGTGCTGCGTCGCCCAACGCCGCCACAGATGCCAAGAGAATTGGACCTTGGCAACTTGATTTGCAGATCGAAGAGATTCTTCCGTGGGCTGTCTCGGAGAAGTGCTTTTTGGAACGATGCTCATCGAAAGGCAAGTGACATCATTTTGAGGAGGTGGCTTTTGTCAGTAGGGGCGAGTGACTGGAAGCCTTGTTCACCCTCTCCTCTCCACAACGCCCAAACATGGTATGGACCATTTCTTTTTTTGGAACAGGGGGGGAGTGGGCCGCAAAGAGGGAGGTAGTAGCTAGGGAGTCGCTAGTAGAAACTAGGGAGTCGCTAGTAGAAACTAGGGAGTCGCTAGTAGCTTAAGTAGCTACTACTTAGGACGCAGGATGTGCGAGCGCTTCTTCAAGGAAACTCTCCCCAGCCGCTACTACTTAGGACACAGGATAGCTCCCGCTTTTTCAGGGAAACTCCCCCCGCCTGAGGGCGGGGGGGCTTCCTTGAAGAAAGCACACTATTCATGTGGCTCAGATTTTTCGGGAAGCTTAACTATATTAGACAAGAATCTACATATATTTATGCATGGAAACTTGCAGGTGAGCTACAGTGCCCGGAATGTGCACGGGGCATACTCTCAACTTCAGCACCGGCTATTGATGAACGACAGTTGTTGCTTTCAATGCATCAATTGTGCACAGTCCATTGCTGCTTTGTTTGACGCGAGAAGCGTTTGAGACCAGCTCATCCTTTTTGAGTGCTGAGGGGGTGACCGTAGGAGAGTGTGGGCATTAAGCTTCAGTGATGAGCCCGCCTGTGTGTAGCCTAGGTCCAACTGGTGATGCTCAAGCAAGACTTCGTCGTTTCCTTCCTCGGCAGGAACTGAGTGTGGATTGGGGGGAAGTTAGTTAGACTGACG